ACATATTTTCCGAATAGTTTGAAATTTCTGATCCGGACAGAGTAGCAGCTTCTGCCGTAATTCGGGCAGCTGAATGCCAGCAATGAGTCTATCACGCAGATGGTCTTCCAATTGGGCACCGTAGTCACATTTGGCTGCCTGTGTCTGCAGCTGCAACACGAAATCACGAACCGACTGACAATGGGAGCGGGTCAAATATTGAACCTAGCTCTTTCGGCTGCTACAAAGTTAATCGGCTTGAAGTGTTGAAGAACATTTTTCTTCAGTGCAGTGTAGGAAACATCGATTGGAGACTCAGGATATACTAAATTTTTGGTCAACGTATACGCATCCTTGCCAACGAAATGTAGGAAATATGCAGTGAGTTTCTTATCATCCATATCGGATTTTGTGAGGCACCATATGTTGAATCGTTCCAAATAATCCTCTACGTCTCGCGAAGTTGAATTAATATCTAATGGTTCCATTTCGGCACACATGATGAATAGTTCAAATCGCGACCGCAAAATGTGAGAATTGAGTTTCGTACGTATATCGGTATAACCCGACAAACTAGAAATCCAGAATTCAGCGAAGAGTGACAACCAGCACGTATGTATTCGAATTGGCGAATATGGGCAGCATATGGGATATTAAAACAGGAGAATAATGAATAGAGCAACGAATAGAGTATCAGTAATGTTCATCACACTGACTTAAAGCCACGTGTTTGTATGATAGCGAAACCACGTGTGAACTCTAAAAACACATTCGATTAAAAGGTTAAAAACGGTTTACGTTTAGGTCAAGAACGAGAAGGATGATAAGTCGCAAAATCAAAATAACAAAAACGGGGGGATTACGTCGTCCAACACAAAAATGCAAGGAAGGAATCAACGTCGATCCTCCAAGCCAGCATTGCTTTCCCTCTTTCACCAACTAAATCTACCAGAGATCAACGAGAATGGTACGACTGCGATATCCATAAACGCTTCCCTCAGTCTGCAGCTTACGCTGTTATAGGGCTAGCTGTCTTCTACTCCTTCCAACAAGTAGATGCGATGTATATCCCGCCTAACCGTACCCGAGGAAGTCTTATTAATACATTACGAATATGGCCATCAATTCCGGACCTGGCCCCCACTATGAGGCCTTTCTCCCAATGGTCAGGATTTGGATTCTTGCCGCTAGATGATACGAAGTCTCCGACTCAAAATTCTCGACGGTTTCGCATTCACTTATGTCATACCTGCAATGGCATAAGTACTCCTTCAACCAACAGCGCCAAAAAGTGCCGCCAACTCTTGTCCCTGTCTCCAACATTGAGTATATCTGTCGCGTTTGTTGAACATATCACCTGACAATTCAATCTCCCTCCGCAGCAATAAAAGGTGACTTGGGGTCAGCATATCTAGGTATGGATCATCGTAGACAGGTCAAAGTGGACGGTTATTTAAAAAACCCTGCATTAGTTGGGAAGGATTTATCGGTCAACAACTGTTCGAGGGAGATTGCACTCAGTACTTGGTGGATAGATCGTATCTGTCGTTCCCATAATCCTTCACGGTGACAGCTTTAGAATTGGTTAAACTGTCACCCATTCCTATTGGCCAGAATTCTCCTATTATCTGGATCGCAGTCTGGCAATTTAGGAAATTGCGGAAGTTATAGTTTGGCTCCAACGAAGTTACTTCCTTTATCACAGAGCATTTCCTTTGGTGAACCACGGCGGTAAATGAAGCCGGAAAGTACCATAAAAAGAGTCAACCGATAAGCAATGAGCTTTGTCAATGTGAAGTGCACGAGACTTCAAACATTAGAAGGTACACCCTATTGTTCCCTTGACTGTCGTCCGTCGCGTACGAAAATGGGACCGAAACAGTCCAAACCAGTGGCAGCAAAAGCGTAACCGGGTTCGGTTCTTCAAAGTGGCAACGGTTCCATCAGCTGTTCAGCCGGTTGCATCGATCTTGCCTTACACGACAAACACCTGCACAGAAGCATATAGCCGCGGCTGCACCCTTGATAACTCAACGGTGCATGACAGACAGAACTGCGACGTGCTCTTATGTCCTTCCGTAGTTCTAGAGCTTCTGGTAGTCTCTAATCATGGTAATTTCTAATCAAGCAATGTGTGACGGGATTTCGACTCGGGGGTATGATGGGGTGCTGTCGGGATTGGAGCAAACCACTATTCTGCAGTCTTCCTCTGACACATATCAGTCCTTCAAGGTGTACTGGAGAGAGTTTACAAAACATTTTGGACGATTCTACATTAATTGTCTCATTAGGACGTGAATGTTCGATGGGAGTATAATATAAATGAGGCGTGTTATTGCACGCACTGCAGTAGTGAATCTTCTGCTCCTCTCAGGTCATCAAGCCGTATAGGGCTAAAAAGGACACTTAACATTCACTTTTGCTCACGTGTGCTCTGGGCAGGGCCATGAGACCGATTGTCTGGAACATCCATGCGGCTACTAGTGGCTACTCTTGATGCGTGATCTCCTGAATCGTCTTGTGTTGGCACATGCTCTACTACGACAACTCGGTATTCTCGTGAATGAATCCCAGCCTACCAGCAACGAACGTCTTACATTTGGACTTTTTGTTATTGATGTAATGAAGTACGGTCATAGAGACGGTCCGCAAATATATGCTCTATTTTCAAACTCAGATCCCTCAGGAAGGGGCTCTTTAACTTTACGGACAAGATAGCAGCTTGTAATATCAGTCCCGGTATAGTTACAGACTCCGTAGGGGCAACACGGGATTATCCGGTCAGAAAATTACAGCATCCGAGCCAAGAACTGCATACACAGCGTAAATAAACAACGGATCCGTATCCAACTTCTGAGGCATCCGAGAAGATATGCAGATCGGAATGACCTACATCAAATGCAGTAGGCAGGCGGCAACGGGGAATTTCCAACGACTGGACTCTTTGCATGTCCCGCTGCCAACAGTCTCGTAAAGTGTACATGGCCGTATCAATGCGTTCGCCCTAACAAAACCTCTTCTCACACAGTTGCTGTGAGAATCGTCTGGGTTGAAATAGAAATGGGGCCACTAAACAGAGGGAGTCCTTATGTGAGGCGATGCAAGGAAGTATACCTCATTTGATCCCTGGGAGTGTTGGCAAGTTGACCTCCAATCCAAGGTAGTCAGTTTTCATAGACCAGTACAGGCCTGGCGTCCTGTGCAAACTCGAATCTGAAGTGTAGCGGTCAACTAGCTGGGAAGCTTGCTCGTTTGTAGGGATGACATTCAACAATTGCGGATTGTTGCTTACCTACCTATGTGAATGGAACCCGTTAAAGTTCAACACCAAACTGAGTTTGCAAGCCAATTTTTAGCTATGTCGACAGATTTCACAGATACAAGGAAATCACCCACGTAAATGTTTTTCTTTGTTCCAGAAATTGTCCCTTTGTCTCCGTTGTTATCAACAACTGCGCGGTGCAAAGACAGCGCAAAACGAAGTGACTCGAAACAGCTGTATGTTAAGGTGATTGATGTCTGAATATTTGTCTAGATTGCAGCCAATGTACCACAGAAAACTGAACGCTGCACCACTCTCCTGCGGCAAGCATACTTGTATAAACATCTGTTCAATATCTGCTGACAAAGCAGTTTCGTGTAGTTTGAAGCTCATCAAAAAACCCCGTTGATTTCATTCTTAGGGTTTGGTCCGGACAATAAGGACTGGTTGAGGAAAACACCATGACCTTTCGCAGTGCAGTCAAAAACTATACGGAACTTCCCAGGTTCTTAGCTTTCGAAGACCATACGAGACGGAATGAAGTGCAAGCCTTCTGTTGAAGAAACTAGTGAGTAGTTAGGGTCTCGATTTAGTGTCTAAGAATACCATCATCCTTCAAAAAGTGGGTCTTTTCTCCGCCACAATTAGGTTACTGGGTCGATTGTTCCAGTCAACCTTCCAAGGCAGCGACAACTGATAGTGACCGTGCGACAAGCCCACAGACTGCTCTGTGTCCTTCATAATCTTTTTGTTCTCTATGGACAATGATTTATCTCTACCCTTACCTTTGTTGAAATCCGATTCAAACATCGTCACTATGTAATCCTTAACACTAGGTTCCGTGCCCAGGCAATTCACTCATATTCGTTTAGGTCCTGCAGGAAGGCTGGTCTGAAAAGTGCCCATCCCAAGGCCGTTGGATATGTGTAGGGATGTCTTAATGAACTCAGAGGTGAGTCGATAACCCAATGATCCTCTGTAACATTGGTTCCTGTCAAAATCGAGACATTATTTCGAGGAATTCGTGTGGGGTTAACATCCGCAAAGTGAATCCGCTTGCTCAACAGCAAATCGAAGACTTGGTAATAGGAAGCGACCCAATAGTGTAGGAACAGTCGACGTCCACAACACACCCGTCATGCAAGGACTGTATGGCAAAGCTGACTGTCATGGTATCCTTGATGTTGGGGCCGTTTACCGATGATAGTTCTACGCGCGTCGCCTCCCCTTCCATCCCAAGTTGCTTTGCCACGTTTGCCGTTAGTAGGGTGGAAGCAACACAGCATGAGTTAGTGGAGGCCTCTTTGGCACAATAAGCCGAACTGCTACGAACTCAGGGAAGCACGGGTTCCCCCAACTACCACTGAGTTGATGTTGGCACCTTTCGTAGTCTCGTTCACCACAAGATGTGTGTTGTGAAGCAGACGGTGATGTCTCTGGTTGCAATTCGAGACGCCGCAACGTGTGAGGACGCCAAACTCAAATGCTCCATGGTTAGGTTCTAGGTAATCGAAGCACAATTTGAGGCCTTTCGGTATACTGTGCTCCTTGACTTAAGGTAAAGTGCCAAACACTCCACAGTCTGAAAGTCTATGAATCTAGGAACAGTGAGGATAAGCCGTACTCGCTTCGGTAGTTACGACGTTGATGCGGGCTTTTTAGGTTGGCGTTCTAAGCCTGCTTCGTCAATCTGATTATCACATCTTCAGCTGCCGATAACGCCATAGCGATTTTAAGCAATCGGGACACTTCTGTTAAGAAAGGATACCAGATGATCGAACTCTGGCTGTGACCCCGAACGCAGTATCTGTTTTGCCGCCTCAGTCGAACTTTGTTACAAACGCCCAGATGGACGTTCCACTACACACTTTAAAATGGTGTAGTATTTCAAGTCCGCCACGTAATGCATTTTTCCACATATCAGATAACACTTCACAGTTTTCTTTATCAGTCTTCTCAAGGCATCGACGTCTCTAAGAGCAACAGACCTTTCAGCCGGTAGTTCGTTCATGAACGACTGTGCAATGTCGTGTGGCCTACCGAACAGCGTCCTTAGGATATCCATGGTTTTTTGATAGCCTGCTTTCCCAGAAAGGGACGTACAAAGTTCAATGATCTCCTTTGCGTCTCCACAGCAATAATGGAGAATGTAGATGAACTTATTGGTGTCATCAAGAAGGGAATGCCTTCACAAAATTCCAAAATTCTGTCAGAGTATCGCTGAACTTATCTATCTCTACTTTCGGTAGGTGGAACCCTTGTGCTGTGCCCTAGTGGTTAGCATGTATGCCGTTCATTTCATGCGCCGCGGTATGATTGTCAGTGGCGTCGCCCTTTCTAGGCCGATTAGCTGATGACTACGTGGATTCCATCTCCTATGAGTTGATCTTCGCTACAAGTTCCTCCACCCCCTCTTCACTGGATAAATACCCCCTTTCACAGTCACCGGATATCGAGCTTTCATCATCAGAAGACTCATAGGACAGTGGCATCTGCCTGCTGTACGGTAATATCCGCTGTCTAATCTCTAGCTCCTTCCACTCAATTGCGATCTATTCCCCCAGTATCTCATTCTCTAACATACCTTTTTCTACGCGTGTCTGCTGGACCTTACGCTACCGGTCACGTTTGGGCTAGGGGGATAATGTTGACATACTAAAGGAGGATGAGAAATGCGAATGCCACAATCAACAATATTAGCCGAATTATCGTTCCTAAAGTTTACAAGTTCTAGGTTCAACGAGGTTTCGAATAACTCGCCGCTTCTTGTTTTGGTGAAATTGGATTCAAAGTTCCAAGCTTCAATTCAGGGGGACGTCCGACATCCATGAGGAACTTGAGCTCTAAGATTTGAGTACCATACATTTTCTCCGGCGATCTGTTGGACCCCAAAAGATAAATCTTTCAAATGGAAGTTTATCTACAAAGTCTATCTATCTGCAATACAATAATAAGGTAAAAATTTAAAAACATCAAATCGTGGGCAATGTCCGCTTCTATACGCCGTTAGGAATAAATCCTAACGAATCTCAAAGGCTACACTGACTCAAAGCCATGTATTTACATGGTAGCGAAACTATTGTGAACTTAAACAACACATTCGACAACAAAGGCAACGAATGGTTTATGTTTAGGTTAAAAACAAGAAGGGTGATATAGGCGTAAGGTCAAAATAACAAAAAAGGGGGATTCACGTTGTACAACATAAAAGGAACCAACAGGCAGTCGGTGGCAAGGCTCGTTCGTTCTAAAATACCGTCTAGAGGAAATTTATCTGATTTAGGACGGTAGATGATCAAACAGTATGCACAGTTCTTAGCTTCGAAGTGCAATGACTCACACTAAGAAGAGCTGAACAGACTGGCCGCTGGGGCCTACATATGTAAAGCAAGTGGAACATCGTTGGTATGCACGGGACCTATGGAGGGAGGAGTGTGTAACAGGGCATGGAGTATTCTATAGGTTGCTGTGCAAGCCCCGATCGGGTATAATGTGAAAGGAGATTGTGGAATTGCTTTCGATTGTTCGATTACCATGTAGTGACGGTCAATGACCATACAGGAAGTTTCAAGGGGACGCGCGAGCATGTTTAGCTTTCGAGGACCATGCGTGTGTGAAATGTTTGCTTTCCTGCTTCTTAGCTTGCAGCGGCTAATTTCGTGTTTGGCGGTACGTGAACTCGCAGAGCAAGGCCTCTCTTTTTGTGTACGTAGTTGAGGTCCTAAATACATGCGTAACGACTTCGTTTGCAAGTGTCTATGTTGAGGAATACGTGGGCGGCCAGTGACCCGCGGTCATGCCAAAAGGGTTGCCATCTGGGAAGTTCCACTAAGGACTGTGGTGATGGTTATTTTGGAATCTCGAAACCTCTTACCACGACCGAGAATGTATGTTCATTCCCCCTGTGAAAAGATAGTGGGCACATTAGGCTTGATGCAGTTGTGCAGGGATACTTCTTTCATGTGTGGTTGTCTGGCTACACAATAGGTTAGTTTCCCAGGAGTGTATGGCAAAGAAATAACAATAATAACGCTAGGATGGGTGTACAAAAATAAAGAGGTCAGATGAAACAGGCTCACTAAAAGTTGTTCTGTTTAAAATATTTCGTCGTTGTACCAGGTCAGTGAATAAACAATAATCCAAGTACCGTGGCCCAGGGGCCTTCTTCTGCACAGTTCATAATTATATAATAGATTCCAAAGTTGGTCTGAAATGTTTTGATACCAGAGATAGCACATGAGACTCGGGAGTGACCGCTGCAAGCGCGAACGAAATCAGAAGACAGAGCCAAAGCACGCGGCCACGCTTGTATTCTGTGAAATTGTACAAGTGCGCGTTTTTGTAGTTTTTTTCGTATTCGAACAAAAACGACTATACAATTGATGAAATACGTAGTGTTATAGTGGGAGCAAAATAAAGGTACAAAACACCCCACATGATGCAGCCTGTCAGCTTGGATGGTGAGGCGCACTGGACGCAAGCCGGCTGGTGCAGGGAGGACAGCATGGGCCGGGCAGGCTCAAAGGTGTAGCATTCGTGTTTGACTCAGCAAGTTTGTCCCAATGAGCGGTTAGTTGCAACCAAGCAGGAAGGTGACTTAAGAGCGCCCTAGGAACAGGTCTGCGAGCGGTATCTATCTGAGAGTGAAGTTGCGATGAAATTATCGCTTTCACATAAAACGGTGTCCACATGGCAACAACCTTGGTATCAAACGTGAACAAGTCGTACGAGGTTTGGTTACACTGGCATAATTACGCAGTAGTGATATGCATGTAAGGTGACTTCGCTTTACACGGTACATTCCGGCGGCAGGAGCAAGGGACATCAATGCCTCAGTCATCGCTCCAGTTTTCACCACGCGGTAGATGGAGCTTGAGCCAGGACACTGTAGGGCGAGATAGGAAAAGAGTAATCCAAAAAAATGTCCTGGTCATTCTACGAGCACCCTTGCAGCTTATGCAACTTCGGATGACCTTGGCGCTTTTATGATTTATGGCGTCCTTGGATTCCAAATGTCGTATCGACTGTCCGCTATAACGAAGGTAACTTTATGTCGTTGAAAAGAATTTTCCAGGAAAAATCATTCTTTGTTTTGAGCTGGATAGTAGTCAAAGCAACCGATAATGCCTCTCTGATAGAACATATTCATCCAGTGGTGGAAAATTTAGATGTAAGTCATCAGCGTCAATATCTGATGTGTAAATTCAGGGAACTTGGAATATTGAAAGATACATTTCGATTCGTCT